AAAAAATTACCTGGTTGGAAACTTCGTATGTGAAATCTTCGCAAGAGCAAATGTTGGTGGACAGTGAAGATGATATGAAATGTGGGGAAGTCAAATTTCATTTGGTGTGCCAAATTTGAACATTTTTAGGTCCCTGAATACTTCCAGGGCCTGTTCGGTTAAACAACCCTATGATGGATTGTTAAACAACCTATGATTTTTAGACCCGGGCCGGGTCGTGTCAATTCGGTTTAGAGTTGGCTTTTGAATGAAAAAAAAAAAATGACTAAAAATAAAATACTTGTCAAGGCCATTCAGAGCTTGGTACAAAGGGACTGGACGATCAATCATGTTCATAGAGAAGTCAATTTCGCGGTTGACCATATAATGAGAATAACGACTTCTTCTTCGCTCGGGCTGCAGAGACTTTCCTCACCCCCATTAAGTTTGCGTGAATAGTTGGATTATGATATTATTGAGATTTCATACCCCCGTCGAGTTTTAAACTGGATCGTTAGGCCGATGGGCTCCTTTATTATGCCGAAAAAAAATTAAAACCATTATATTTCATCTTTCACCCAACCATCTTTTCAATTCACATGGATTTTTTCTTTTTTTTTTTTTAGTATCTTTTAAAAAATATATTGAATTCACCTCATTTCCTAGCCCTTGAGGCCGTGTTTTTATACAAGTAAAGCCTCTTAAAATTAGTTTTTTTTTTTTTTTTTAATTATNNNTTTTTTTTTTAATTATTACTAGAGTTAGTTTTAAATAAAAAGTTGTATGAGAGTTGAAAACGGTGAAAAAAATAGATTTTGTACCCAACTTGAAGGTTTATTATTCGTATGTTGAATAATTAGACTAAAATTTTAAAGTCATGTTACGCTAAATGAAAAATTAATCTATATATATATAAAAAAAATTACCATTTTTTAAAAATGGCAAGTCAAACCATGGTCAAATATGGTTAAGCATTAATTATATTCTATTAATAGCAAGTTTTTATTTTTTTAATTTACAAACATGCATCATTAATTATTGCATTTAATGTAGAGTTTGTTAAGTGGAGTTTGTTATTTATTTTTGCGCAAGATTAGGTTGTTCCTTTTTAATTTTCACAAATTAAACAAAAAAAATAAAACTTTCTTTAACATATAAACGTGTACCACATTGCAAATTGTATTTTTTTTAATAAATATTACGCCTAATTTAATAATATAAACTTACTTTAGTATCTACAAAAAATCATAAACTCTTTTAACATCAACTCGGCTACTACAATTGTTTTAATCAGATGCTTTTATTTTTTTAATAATAAATTACAATTCATTTATTTGGTGGATTTGGTAAATTACCGTTCATTTAAATCCCTAAAAGATAAATTGGTGGATTTGGTTCCATTAAATTCTAAAAATTTATATTATTGAATATTACTTGAAATTCAAAATCCTTTCTCATATTTTAATTAAAAAATTCAATTGTGTTTTTTATTCCAAACAATCAGATTGCCGAAAATATTACCTTAAAACTTTATAATTTCATTTTCTTTAGGTTTCAATTTGCACGAAATTCAAAATGGTTCAAGAATTTCAAATCAATCGAAATTCAGCTCTTTAATTTTTTTTTTCCATAAGTTTCAAAATTTTACAATAATTAAGTCAAATTACAAATGTATTGTTTCAAAAATCAATAAGATAATTTTAGAACTAGACATTTTTTTTTTTTCTAAATTGTCTTAGTCTCCATATTCAATATAAAATAATTCCCATTTTATTTGTAAAATTGATAAATCTGTATAAGGCGTGGAACTTTATGCGTACAATTTTTTTTAAAGTAACTAAAGATAATAATAATTTTGAAATCTTCTGTACCCAAATTACTTAAAAGAATAATAATAATATTTACAGTAACTAAAAAATAATAATAATTTTAAAATCTTCTGTACTCAAATTACTTAAAAGAAGAAGAATAATAATTTTGAAACCTTTTGTACTCAAATTATTCAAACTCAAATTATTCAAAAGAATAATAATTTTAAAATCTTCTATACTCAAATTTTCAGGTACAGTAGTATCGTCATAATTTTCAGCATCATGTCAATATTTTTTTTTATATGTACTAGGTAAATTTTCTTTCAAAACTTTATAATGTACTTATTTAGGCTTATAATATTTTAGATACTTTTATATAATATTTTATCATGTCATATTCAGAAAACATATTTCATACAAATGTAAACTTTAACGTTTTTAGATACATTATTTTTACAAAAAAAAATTAAAAAGTTTTTATGCGACCTCACATCTTTTAATAATAATATAAAAAAGTTTAGATAATTTTACATATGTTAATATAATATTTTAGAAGTTTTTAATTGTTTAAACATACAAATTTTATGTTCTCCTGAACACGTTAATTTTATATCGTTTATAATTAACTGATATACCGTAAATTATATGACATGTTAACTCCACATTGTTAATTTATAATTATTATTTAATATTGTTTACCCTCATCTTTAATTTATAATATCTTTCTTGCTCTTTTAAGAGAAGATCAATAGTGGTTCTCCACTTCTTTCATTGGGTGACTCGAACTCGATACTCATTTATAATTATTATTTAATATTGTTTACCGTGCATCGCACGAGATACACACTAGTTCTAAAGTTAAAATGTGGAGAATTTGAGTTTATGTAACACAAATATTACTGACTTTGCATGGTTTTTGACGAATGCTTAGACAAGCTAAGCGAGGCAGAATCATGCTTTAAGCATATTATTACTCTGAAATGGTTGGATATAGGAAAAAAATCGAACATGATTATTAGTTTGGGGAGATAGTTACGGATTTGTTACGAAATTATCTCGTAGGGATTTTCTAACCGTTAGATCAATTATTTTTTACGGTTATATGATAATCTAACGGTTATAAATTCATACAGAATGTTTCGTAACTACGAACATGAATCCGGATGCACTTATTCATGCCCACGAAGATTTTAATTCAACTAGACAACCAAGCATGTCCCGAAATGTGACTTTTTGGTCCAAACAATTAAGTTGGTCAAAACAACCAACATAGTTTGCCAAACAAGGCCTATACAGGCTGAGGGTTTTGTTCGCCAAATCGACTACAGAAAGGGGAAGAAAGAAGAAGCGCGAACACCCGAAAAATCCTCCACAGCCGCCGGAGCTCTGTCCACTGTCCACCCCTGATCGGAATATGCAGCCGGAACGTCGAACATCGTATCACGGCCGAAGCTCCGACAAGGAGAATCAAGTAAGAACACGACCGTTTTCATCATGGACGGATTAAATTTTCCTTTTAGTATTCTTTATCTACTCTCGTTCTTAAAGCTGAAAAGGGAAAAAAAATAGTCATCTGTAGTTTTACACGGCGGTTGATTTGATTCCTGTTTAATTAATTGCATATATATGCACCTGTGCGTGTATTAATTTGGCCATTGATTCATCCATTTAGACAAAGCATGTAAAAATTGGGATTTTTCTTTTTTCCCTCTCGTTCTTAGCATGTTTTTTACCCTAACTTGATGATTTTTGTGAAATATATTATTTTAGCTAATTTTGAGTTTGGAATTTAGGTTGAGCTTTCATCATGGTAGTAAATCTCATAAATGCTAACCCAATTGTGTACGAGAAAAAGGAGCGTCAAGCCCGCAATCCACCAGCCGATGCGGATGAATATGCTGTCGAGCAGATTGACAGATTAGAAATTTTTGATATCCTTTGATATGTTTATTTTATCTCCTTCACATGTGTTCTGTTTTTCATTCCCTGTGAACTTCTTGGCCAGTATCTCACTTACTAATGTATTTTAGTTTCATTTTGCACTGATCATTTGCTCCTTGGACATCTTGTAAATTATATACAGTTCATTGGTTTGGTTAAAACCACCAAGCAGCCATTTTGTTTAATCTATTTCTGGAAGAGGAACTAAACATGTATCTATTGTTATGGCTGCAAAACTTTTAGTTTGACCCATAGAGGTAACAATGAGATTGTCCCGAGAACCTTATGCTTCAAAACATCTTGTACTCCTTAAATTTCACACAACATATTAGAGACATAAAAGATCCAGAACACCCTTACTCGT